TATGTAAAATTTGTTATTGAAACCAAAACAACTTTTATGAAGTTTAAATTTGCAGGCCTGTGTAATGTCACTGATCATCTGTGTGGACACGTGTCAAGGCTAAAAGACAATAACATTGTCTTAAATGAGTGTTATACTCTTCTGTTCCCATGGTATATTTCTGTTCTTTCACAGCATTAGCTCAGTGGTGAAAACTTGATTTGTGAATGCTTTTTATACTGTTCCGAGCTAAATGTAGACAAACTTACTGGGGAAAAAAATGTTTCCAGAAGGTTTCAAACTTCCTGGAATTATTATATGTATTTCTGCAAACTTTACATATCACATCATACAGACAAGATTCTTATTAACAATTCTACAGTTTTAAACTTGTATCTTTAACCTTTCAAACTATACATTATACAGACAAGATTCTTATTAACAATTCTACAGTTTTAAACTTGTATCTTTAACCTTTCAAACTATACATTATACAGACAAGATTCTTATTAACAATTCTAGTTTTAAACTTGTATCTTTAACCTTTCAAACTATACATTGTACAGACAAGATTCTTATTAACAATTCTACAGTTTTAAACTTGTATCTTTAATCTTTCAAACTATTATGATAATATTGTATTAATAGATTGAATAGTAATATTATCATGCTTGCTTGTGAAAATGTGTGTGTGTGTGTGTGTGTGTGTGTGAAGAAATCCATTTGAAGCAAGCACTTCATTAGAAATTCAGTTTAATCTGACAGTTGTCTATTTTAAAGTACCTAAAATATTTTAAACTGTGAAGTAGCATTTTAGGAGTGTTTAATATGTTTATCAATAGTAAAGCATGAACTGGATAGTATGAGTCTTTGTTACAAGGTCATAGTGGATAATTCAATATACAATGTGTAAACATAATGCTAAATTTATTAAGTGAGTAAAGTAGTGCACAGTTTGGTTCTTTTTTTGTTTTATGTCTAAATAAGTAATGTTAGATTTAGTTAATATCAATTCTTGTAATATTGTTCTTTACCAGACACTTTATCTTTCAGGTATTCCCTGTTGTTTTGAAATTTAATTTCTGTGTGTAGGATTTGTAAAAGATGGGGTGATCATAGTATATTTTTGTAGTTTGTCATTTACTCATAATTAAAGCTATTTATTATTAGTTATTTATTATAGATTTTTTATTAAGTCTTTTGCTCTAAGTTTCTACATAGTGGATGACTAAACTGTCATTGTGAAATATTGAACTTCCTTTAGATGGTTTTTACTTTTTGTTGAAATTTTCTTAGTATAGCCAACTGATATTAAAGAATGTTGAAGTTTATCAGAGGAAAGGGGCACCACGTAAGTG